TAGCCCAGGCTGGCCTTGAACTCACAGAGATCCGCCTGGCTCTGCCTCCCGAGTGCTGGGATTAAAGGCATGCGCCACCACCGCCCGGCTACTTACTTTTTTTTTTTAAAAGATTTATTTATTTATTAGGTATACAGTGTTCTGCCTGTAGTCAGAGAGGGCACCAGATCTCATTACAGATGGTTGTGAGCCACCATATGGTTGCTGGGAATTGAACTCAAGACCTCTGGAAGAGCAGCCAGTGTCCTTAATCACTGAGCCATCTCTTCAGCCCCACCCCAGGGTTTCTGATTTCACTGTTTAACACAGCTTGGCCCAGAGGAGTGGCAGGGAGTGAAGAGGGACCAGGAGCAGCCACTGAAACATTCAGCTGTTCATGGTTCCATTTCCCTCTTCCTTGTCTTCCCATCTGCTGGAATGAACAAGGACAGGAAATGGAGGACAGGACGGGTGTGTGTGTGTGTGTGTGTGTGTGTGGGTAAAGCGCTTGCTGTGTGAAAGCTGGGCACGGTGGCATGCACGGGTGTCAGCTCAGTGAGACTGAAGGGAGCAGTGACAGGCAGGTCCCAGGGCTGGCTGTCAGCCAGGTCTGCTGAGGGAGAGCTCCAGGTTCAGAATCTCAAAAGGGAGGCATCAGAAGAGGATACCTGACAATGATCCCTGGCCTCTGCACATGTGTGCTGGGGTATGCATATCTGCATACACACATGCATGCCTGAGTGTACATACCTGCTTACACACATGCATGCCTGGGTGTGCATACCTGCTTACACACATGCATGTCTGGGTGTGCATACCTGCTTACACACATGCATGCCTGGGTGTGCATACCTGCTCATACACAGATACACACATGCATGCCTGGGTGTGCATACCTACAGATACACACATGTTGTAAGTGCCCCTTGAAGTGGGGTGGCATTTTTGCCAGGATAAGGAAGCCCTGGTCTAGGTTCCCAGTTGAAGAAGACAGTCTGGGAAGAAACAGCCCTTCCTGGTCAGCCTCCAGCCCTCAGAACTCTCTCTTCTGACCCCCCTGAAACAGCTCACCCCTCACCCCACACCGGCCTGACCTTCTGCCACAAGGAAGTGCATTCATTTGTTCCACTCTCACCACAGTCCTGGTGTGGGTGGGTGTGGGGGGTCAGGCATTATCCCCACTTCAGAGTCTCAGAACCTGAAGCCCAGAGAGGTGGGGTGACAGGCCAAAGGTCGCACAGGCACAGCTGGGTTTAACCCCAGGCCCTCTGGCTCTGGCCCTGTGTTCTCACAACCCCCGAGCTACCTGCTGGCATCTTCTGAATGGGCTGAGCCTGAGGCCACACACAGGGCCAGATCCTGTCCCTTAACCACGCCAAAGCACATGAAGCACCCAGGGAGGCTGGAGTGCAGAGACGCCCCGTCCCGGGGTCCTCACTGTTTGGATCTCCAGACTTTGAGCATCAACAGTCCTCCATGAGGCGTGCAGTACTGCAGTTAGCAGCGGCTATAACTGTATCAGTTGCTGAGGTATCAAAATATTGACCAGCCCCTTCCCAAAGATCCCCCCACCCTGACCTCCTGGGTCTCCCCAGGACCCTTCTTATAAGCTCATCACAAACCGATAGAGCGCACAGTAGGGCTTCCTGATGCAGTGCTATGGATGGTTGGGCCTTCAGTCACTCTTGCTGGTAAATATTCAGAATGGTTTTCTGTAGGGGTAGGAAGGGGCTGAGAGGGATTAAGGAAGTGTGCCGTAGAGGACAGACATGAGATGGAAAGGTTGACTAAATCAGGAAGCCAAAGAGGAATAGGTAGGGAAGGCATGGCCAGGAGGCCAAGGCCAGGCAGGGCTCATTTCCCATCACTCACTCTGTCCACAGGCAGCTCCTGTCCCATAGCCCACAGCCTGGGCCAGCCCGAAGGTGAGCAGCCCAAAGCTGGTGGAAGCCTCAGCCGTGTGCATCTTGTCTGCAGTGCCGAGGTCCACTTCCGCATAGGAGAACTCGCTGCCTGGCACGGCCACCCACGTGAGTTTGGCTCCCAATGCCTGCCCATCCATGGTTAGCTCCCTGGTGGCTTTTGTCTGTGCGACCACCAGGGCCACACCCTCGGTGCCTGGCACACTCTTGATCACATAGGCAGGGCAGTAAGCTGCCACATCTGGGATCAGGACCAGGTAAGGGTCATAGGTCACTTGGTCCTTTATGGCCCCCGTGCCAAAAAGCATAACCTGGATGCCCACATCTGCAGACAGGTAGAGTGGCCGGGTCGGCCGGATCTCGAACTCAGCCACATCACCCATTTGGAGGCCCCGGGAGCCAATGGTGCCCCCATGGTTGTATGTCAGTTTTGTGGTCTGGCTGGCTACAACATAGGCTAGATCATAGCGGGACTGGGAGGTCAGAGGGGGGACCACATAGTGGGTTCCCCAGGCAGATGTGGGTAGCAGTTGCTCCACCACATGGTTGCAGTCCGTGTGCTTCTGGGCACAACTGTGGCCAGAAAGAACAGCCACTGGGCTGCTGGCTGTGACCCTTGACCCGGAGAGATCTGATGTGCTCTGTAGCTGGGCTACTTCATAAGGCTGCAGAGTCACACTTAATACACTACCAGCTGGATGGAAAGTGCCATGGAATGTCACTCCTGCCTTTAAGCTGACAGTGACCGAGGCACCTGCTCCGCCAGCCACCACAGCAAACTCCTTTGCATATTGGGCAGAGATGCCAGGGGGTGTGAGCACAAAGTACTCTGTGCCCAGGGCTCCAACCGGCCAGAGCAAGGTTAGCTCCGCTGTTCTGGGCTTAGCATTTAATGCCTGCACAGAGATGGGGTGGTCAGAGTGGACCACTACTGCATGCCGGAAAGTGCCGCCGCCAGTCATCTCTGCTTTGGCATTGATGTTGACCATGACTGACTCCCCAGGCTTCACTGTGACCTTCTGGGAGGTGTCATCCGCCTGGCTGAGGATGGTGACAGAGGTGATGCTCTCTGACAGACTGGAGATGAAGAGGCGGAGAGAGGCCGTGCCGTACCCCGGCTGGTCATTCTGCAGGAAGGCCGTGAGGAATTCTTCCCCACCAGTGTTCCTGGAGTTCACTGTGGCCTCCTGGGTCAACCCTTAAGGAAACGCAGGTGTGGGTCCACTTTTTCGTCCCCTTACAAACCCAGCCCGCTGGCCTGTACCTGAGAACCTCTTGAGATAACCCCCCTCTGCTCCCTCCTCACTCATGCAGCGCTCATCCACACGCCGTTCTGGCTTTCGCTGCCCCAATACCCGAGCGCTTTGCACAGTGCTCTGGAACTCAAATGCAGCGGGGCCAGAGGAGGCCCAGAAATGAGTGAGACCGTCCAGAAGGGGACCGTGGACCCTGGAGCACCAGGCTCCATCTGAGACAGCTTTTGCTGGTTGTTAATATGAAAGACTAGAGCCTTTCAAAAAATGCCACCCATTTATATTTTTCAAGAAAAGCTGTTTGGCTAACTGAAGTTCTAAATGAAATTTCCATCCAATCTGTGTAGTTTCTGTCTTAATATGACTAGGGGATTTGTGTGAAGTGGGTGGAGGGGGAAAGGGATTGTAGGAATGTGGACAGAGTGTCTGTGAGAACTAGAGGGTAGGGGGCTCTTCAGTGTGTGTGTGTGTGTGTGTGCGTGTGCGTGTCTGTGTGTCTGTGTGTGAATGAGAGAGAGAGAGAGACAGAGAGAGAGAGAGAGAGAGAGAGAGAGAGAAGCATAAATGAATTCTATCGTATTTCTTGCATTACCTAAGGGCCTCTTCAATTTCAGCTGCTTCTCTCTCATTTAAGTTAGCCTTGCGGGATGGCACTAAGAGGGGCCAAAACTTGAGGGTGCTGACCCGGGCAAGCAGCGTTTTCCCAGACATGAATGGGGGCTTGATCTGACTTACCCCACAGGAGGGTTGCTCCGGCCCAGAGGGCCCACCAGCTCCACAGGGATCCCATGCCTGCAGCAGGGCGAGAGGGAGGTCAGAGGATGCTGTCCTGTTGGAGACCATTCCAGATGGGACAGAAGGGACAGTCTCAGGACAAGGACCACTGGGTGTAAGGAGGGCTCAGGTGGAAGGGAAGTTGAATAGATAGGACCAGATAGGTTTGGGGTGGGGGGTGAGGCTGGGCGTGAGATGGGGAGGTCAGGATCAAAGGCAATGGACGGGGTAGCCAGGGGTCTGAAGGTAGCGGTAAAGAGGTGGTCTAACACCCAGATCCAGAATAGGGTGTTAGTTGCCCCCTTCTGCAGAGAACCTCAGCCTTTCTTACCTGCAGGTCCCGGAGCTGCAGGACCAGATTGAAAGCTAGGCTATATAGTGGAGATTCCTGGCTCCTTCGGCCACACCCTGGGTCACCTGACAAGCCCATGATGCCAACTTCCTGGAGGAGGAGGATGCTCTCAGGCCAGGTGGAATGGGGAGCCCTGAAGACCTGCCAAGGGTGGAGGACGAATCTGTAGCCTGTGTTCTGAGAGGGCTGAGAGCAGCTGGTGGCTACACCCTGGGAGCTTATGGATCAATTCAGTCCTGGAAGGGCGTCGTCCTTGTGGAGACAGCTGGAGAGCAGCACGTTGAGATCCTGGGTCCCTGGGCAGGGGTGGGGTAGTGGTTAGGGTTTGAAATTGAGATGGGAGGTGGCAACTCGTCCTGTTTGCTGGCTCACTGGCCAGATTACTTTCTCTGACCCCTGCCAGAAACAACAGTAAAGCACTCACATCCGGGCCCTAGCTCCCTGCGGTCCCAAGCTGAGCCTTGGTTCCTAGCCATCCCACATTCTTTCCAGTCACCAGTGGAGGATGGTGTCTGGGGGTGGGCAGGGGTGTGAGGCCTCGGCCCAGGCCTGTGATGTCTATCCTAACGTGCTTACCCCAAGTCCATCGAGGTCTCCCGGGTTTCTCACCTAGGAAGTGGAAACATGGAGACGCGGCTTTGCCGGGCTCCTTGAGGTTCTGAGGGCTCTTTAACTACTTGTGGCAGGGAAGGGGTAAAGCGGGGAGGCCTGGGACTCAGGCTGTGTGTGACTAAGGCCAGAGGTCTCCATTTCCTGATTCCACAAGACCATGAGGGTTTCACTTCCTGGAGAATTATTTGGTTTGGGATTTTTCAGCTTTCTGTGGTTTTGTCATCCCTCTCCTTTTTTCCTCCCTTTCTTCCTTTCTTCTTTCTTTTGTACCCTTAGAAGGGACTGCTTGGACAGGTTTTGAGTGACTCTGTGCCTCCCCATTACCCTGCAGCTGGCCTGAGATGAGGCATGGGGCAGGTGGCAGAGCGAGAGGCAGGGTGGTGTGGATCTTCTAGGCTGGGGTCAGCGTGTCTCATGGGCCCTGCCATACTCGCCTGATCCCTCTTTGGAGATGAATGTTTGCCGAGGAGTCTCCTCAGGAGCAGCAGCTGCAGAGCCCGGCTGGTGTCCTCTGTCAACACCTCCTCCCACTCCTCCTCCCTTATCTCGGAGGCCCAGACTTCTGTGCACCTGGGTGGGTGGAGGATCTTCTCCCTCTAGGGCTGTGACTTCTCATACAACCACTCAGCGACGGTTTTCAGAGGGGAAGATAAAGCTTTGGTACTGATAGGGCCCTCAAGTCAATCAGGCAAGAGAAGTGAGTAAATAGGAGGCTAACTGGGAGGCTGGATGGCAGCCAGAGATAAGCAGGAACAAGTGGGTGCAGGCTAGGGGTGGGAGTCATGGAGAGTGAGGACTTGGGGGAGGACAGAGGCATAGTGTCCTCAGGGAAGCCCTCTGAGTGCCAGGAGAGAACATGGCAGAGTCCCTGAGGAAAACATGGCCTGGGAAGAGAAGATACCAGGACTCCCAAGGATGAAAGTGATGTTAAATGAAGATGACAAGCCACTCTATGTGGTTACCTCTCTTCCCCTTTCAGACCCTCAGAGAAATGAGATGTGGGGAGGAAAACATGAGGGCGTGTTCTCAGAGACAACTCTGACCCCCTTTCCACACACTCCTCTAAGCCTTAATGTCTCCCCTGACTGAAACCAAAGAGAAACCCACCCCTTTGATCACTGCTCTCTGCAGATGGATACCTCAGAAATAGGGTGGTGGAGCAAGTCTTATGAACATTGTAACTTGGTAACTCCTTGGGACCTTGTCTGTTACTCCTTTCAGGGTTCAAAGTGTGTGTGTGTGTGTGTGTGTGTGTGTGTGTGTGTGTGTGTGTGTGTGTGTGTGTGT